CAAAAGATCAAACACTATCTACAAGAGATAAACAATATCTGAAAGTCAAGTCCTTAAGAAATAAGAAACTATCCAGCAACGACCTGACGAAGGACCTAAGAGATGCATCTGCTCAATACTGTCTGCAGAAGTCTCAGCTAATGCAGTCAAAACACATCAGTCATGGCCTCCCTACAGCCCAGACCTCAACATTATTGAAGCAGGGTGGGATCAACTTGGCATAGAACAGAACAAAAAGCAGCCAACATCCAACGAAGCAACCTAGTATCAAGGCAAAATGTGTCACGCATGCAGAAATTGCATTACCAGCAGGGGGAGATAATATACGCCAAGCCACAAAGTTGGTAGTGAGCAAGTAGTGACTCGGTTACTGTACATGGAAGTTTTTCAACTTGTTTTGGTGGTAATAATAATAAACCTCTTCTAATCAGGTGTTTCTGATATTTAGTCCACTCCTTGACATAGTATAGCCATCACATTACTGCTGAATTTCATCTGACTAATAAATAACTGAACAACTGGAAACATCATTGCAAACACCACACAGAGGGCTGCATTTCATGTAAATGGACTGCATCATTGGAAGCATCCTGATAGGGTGCATCACTCTACTTTATGACAACTGGGCCGCTTTGGATGGCGAGCTGCTGAAGGATGGAAGAGAAAAATATTGGCATCCCTCGCTCCATGAGAGGTGCATTAGTCACGCCAATATGAAAAGCTCAAAAGATCATCAAGGACACAGGTCAGGTGGTCCACACTCACTCTGTGGAAAATGATGGTGGGGCATTAAATCACAAGATGCCCATTTCCAAGAGAGTTTCTTCCCACAGGGAGTCAGAGTGGTGGGGTATGCTCACATACAAGCACTTACACTCTGGATTCCCTTCTATCAGTCATCATAGCATTTTGTGAGAAATATATCACTGATTACACTGCACTGAGCTCAAAAATAGAATTAATCAGGCAGATAGGTTTGGGAGAACGGGTTTTATTTGCTGGGTGAATTTGGAATTCATGTTGAACTTGGGAAGAGTGTTTTAAAAAAATTCTTATTAAAATTACATTGCTGGGGCACTTCAGTTTGTATTCCTTTAATTGGCACTAGTGAGGCCACGCAAGTGATCTAATTAAACTAATGACTGACATGGTGGGGAGGGGGAGGCTTTTAATCAGAGCGCCGTTAAACCCAGACTACGAAGTACAGGGTTAGGCAGATTAATGCAGGATTATGCCCATCTGCACTCCCACTGTCTAGGAACAGAAGCCAGCAAAAGGCTGGGAGTGCGCAATACATGACAAACAACTCCATCACAGAGACGTTTAACTGCATCGTGAAAAAATAAAGTTTGGTGAAAAATAGACCATCTGAGCTTCAGTTCTATCCATCACGCCTCAGCAGCTGTTGCCTACCAGCTTTAACATAGGGAGGAATCCAACAGAGTTTATTGGATAAAGATTAGAGTCCTGAATACTGACAAAAAAAGAGGAAGGTTACATTACTTTGCACAACTCTAGAGCTGAAATTATATTAGGGACGA